ATGGCCCAGGTTATGCGTTCCTCAGTGATTATACTATCTATCAGACACCTTGCAACTGTACGTGGAGAAAGAGGGTAGATGTTAATGGGACAATCAGAGCACCCCGGAAAATGGGTGCCCGTTCGTAGGTCCAGTGCAAGATTCAGTCCAACTTCCGTCTTTCCTTTGCAATAGTGACGCTGAGGATGGTGTTTTTGATAGGACCTTACGCAGTCTAGCAGCGTGAAGTGCGCTTGGCTTTCCTAATAGCCGCTTTGTACACGGCAAGTTCTCGTTTATATTTGGACCAGCTAGATTCAGTGTTTTCAAATCTTAAATTGCTATTGATTCTTAGTGTATCTAGCTCAGGGGCCCACCAAGGGGGCTTACGACCTTCCCTGAGGACAGCTTTGGGCTGGCCATGTTGAGGGCATCGACGCATGAATTAGTAAAATTAGTGACTAGGTTATCCAGCTCATCCCCAGTATCAGGTTCCATACCCGATGCTGGGGGGAGATTTTTGGATAGCAGTCTGAGGTAATACCCCCAATTGGTCCTTTTAGGATTAATAATCTTAACGGGGGCCGGACGAAGGTACCCTAACTTGAACTGGATGAGTCTATGGTCCGAGAACGAGTGATCTCTCAAGACTTTCCATGTTAGTATCCTATCACTGAGAAGATCAGACGCCAGTGTTACTTCTAACACCTCGCTTCGACATATGTTCATAAATACATACATTTTTCTTGCACCAATAAAGCCCCAATGCAAAAAATTGATTGAAAAAGCAGATACACCTAATTCTGTTTTTACACGGTAGATTGGTTCCAGAAACAACCGTGTGCCCGGGACATTTAACTTTAATTTAAAAATCGGGATGTCTGGCTACGTTGATATGCGCATACAAGGAGTTTTCGAAAGTAAACCGGACTTTTGAAAAAAAAAAAAAAGAACACATGATTTTTTCGGCAAAATCAATTTATTTTATTCAAAATAGTCTCCTTCTGTTTCAATACAGCTTTTTGCTCGATCCAAAAGCATGTCGAACGAGTGTTTTAGCTCGTTGGCCGGTATAGCCGCCAGTATGCCGGTGCAAGTCTTTTGAATGGCCTCTACGTCGCACGGTGCCACATCAGGTGAACACGAGTGGTTAATGGTTAAAATGTGATTTTTGGTCAAATAATCGGTCACAAGCGTCGATCGATGAGAGCAATTTTTGGTCGTCAGTCAATTTGTGAGGAACAAACCGTGCACACACCTTTCGTAAGCCAAAATGTTCGGTCAAAATGCGATAAATCGATGTTTTGGAGATGTTCAATTCCATTTCCATCAATTTCAATGATGATTTTGGCTGAGTTTTGATGAATTCACGCACAGTTTCGATTGAATTTTCGGTGATCACGAATTTTGATTGGCCCCCATGTTGATCGTCATTTATGTCCTCACGACCACTTTGAAAACGTTGAAACCACTCGTGCACTCTGCTACGGGATAGGAAATCATCGCCAAAAACGTGTTCCATCAATTGAAACGTTTCGGTAAAAGTTTTACCAATTTTAAAACAACATTTAATGTTGGCTCTTTGTTCGAAGCTCATTTTCGCACCGATAACACAAAAATACTGACACTTAAAACGCAATAACTTCACTTCCAATCGATGAAATGTCTCACTGAACAATCGATAAAGATAGCAGATTCTACCGCACCAGTCGACATATAGATAGCGCCACCAGGGGGCTCTAGATTCAAAAAGTCCTGTTTACTTTCGAACGCATCTTGTACTTTGTGGGGTCTGCCACGCCTCCTTCTGTCTGTTACATACATTCGTACAAAACTAGTATACCCTCTCACCCTTTGGCTACAGGGTATAAAAAACATTTAACATTCTCTAACATTAATCGATTAGAAGGCACTGATATTTTATGAAAATTTTACAATGAGTCAAAATTTTATCAACCGTGTACGCTTTTTTCACGGCACGAATATTTTTTAAATAACAGGTCTGAAGTCTTCGATGCATGTTCTCCAAACAGCGAATCTATCTGGTTGCATTGTTATACCCGTGGCATAGCATTTTTTGCTGTTTTTTTTTTTCGCGAAGCTGCAACAGTTTTTTGCTCTGGATGCCAAATACGGATCAACACGGATGAAGGTTTTTAAAGTTATAAAGGAGTATCTCGGGAACATATTTTGAAAATATGGGCGAGGTAGAAGAGTAGTTTTTTTTATTGTTCACAGAAGGTGAAAAATACGCTAAAAATATTCTAGAAAACATAAAGACATATTTTTAATTGAATTATGCATAAAATTAATACACATAGCAATGTAAATAAAAACAACAATGATTCGTCACATAATTTAGCAAACATAATACTAGAAAGATGCAGTATTTGCATAAAATTAAGTATATTGTTGCGGACTAAAAAAAGGGTCGACTTTGAGTACACATATCTCCTAAACTATAATTTCGATTTATTTGAGAATTCGTTATCTCTAGGGAATTTACTGTTAAACGTATCTTAACCATAATCGCCAAAGCGTTTATAAAATTTTTGATTTTTGCAAGCTGTTTCGGCCTAAGGCCTCACAGTGCGACGGCTCCCCTTCTATGTGAGCTTTCAAAAAATCCTATTCAACTGTGGAACATCCAAATTCTTTTAGAAAATCAACTAAGTTTGATAATATAAATTGGTTTTAAAATTGTTAAGTTTATTGCCGTGTTTATTGCATTCAAAATCTTTGGTCTAGTGCAAATTTTATGAAATTGGCTCATGTCTTCGAATTGAAAATATGAAATGCAAATTGTGGGTTGTGCGTAAGTTTAACAATTGTGGTCAAATTATTCATCTTTTAATTCTAGAAATTACTTGATCTTTCTATACAAATTTTTCTAGAAATGCGCACAATGTGAGAAAAGAAATAGGTAGTATACAAGCTGTGTTCCAAAGTAAACAGGACTTTAAAAAACAAGTAAAAAAGCTAAAGTCGGGTGTCCCGACTTTGAAATACTCTGTACATATGTTTACAATAATTATAGAAAAAAAAAATAAGAAAATTTAAAAAAAATTTGATCGATTTTACCTTTCTCGGTATTCGAACTCACGTAAAGGGTATATAATTGCACATTTACATAGCAATTGCGTCTGTGTGAGTGTAAGTATGTTTATGCGCGTCTATTTGTGTCTGTGTAAGCAGCTAAACAGCAACATCAACAACAGCCGCGGGCAGCGCTTGGGCAGCGCTTGAGCAGCGCTGCAACAGCAAATATATTTATGGATGTAACTTCTTGTTAAATCGGTCTATCATTGTGAAACTCGGCATACGGACACATAATAACTAACTGGGGGTATTTCCAAAATTTTAGTTCGAAATTCCAAGAATTACGGGAGTTAGAGAAAATCGCAATTGCGGGGGAGAGGGGGGAGGGAGGGAAATTACAAAATATACATTTTCTGCGTATTCACACAAGGCATCTTGGACTAAAATTTGGTGTTCCTAGGTCTTATAGTCTCCGAGATATAGGCGATTATACGAATCGAAAATCGGGAAAACCCCCATAGGGGGGAAGTGGGGGGGGGGAATCAAAAAAATAAAGGAAACTCGTATAGCGTACACACATAAGGCATCTTTGTGCAAAATTTGGCGTCTCTAGCTCTTATAGTCTCTGAGATCTAGGTGATCATACGGACGGACGGACGGACAGACGGACAGACAGGGCTAGATCAACTCGTCTCGTCATGCTGATCAAGAATATATATACTTTGTGGGGTCTGCCACGCCTCCTTCTGCCTGTTACATTTTTCAGCTCGCGCAAACCTAATATACTCTTGTACATTTCATGTACAGAGTATAAAAACAGAACAAATGGTTTTTTCGGCAAAATCAATTTATTTTATTCAAAATAGTCTCCTTCTGCTTCAATACAGATTTTTGCACGATCCAAAAGAATGTCGAACCAGTTTTTTAGCTCGTTGGCCGGTATGGCCGGTGCAAGCCTTTTGAATGGCCTCTGAATGGCCAAAGTCTGCATAACGCTTTCCTTTCATGGGCAAATGCATTTTTCAGAGAAGGTAGAAGTCGCACGGTGCCATATCAGGTGAATACGGCGAATGAAACTTACGCAGAGTTTCGATGGAATTTTTGGTGATCACGAATTTTGATTGCCCCACATCTTGATCGTCATTTATGTCCTCACGACCACTTTGAAAACGTTGAAACCACTCGTGCACTCTGTTACGGGATAGGCAATCATCGCCATAAACGTGTTCCATCAATTGAAACGTTTCGGTAAAAGTTTTACCAATTTTAAAACAAAATTTAATGTTGGCTATAGCTAATTTTCTTACCGATAACACAAATATACTGACACTTAAAACGCAATAACTTCACTTCCAATCGATGAAATGTCATGAAATTCTCACTGGACAATCAATAAAGATAGCAGATTCTAACGCACCAGTCGACATATAGATAGCGCCACCAGGGGCGCTAGATTGAAAAAGTCCTGTTTATTTTGGAACGCACCTTGTACATAGTAGTATAATAAACATATTTATAACTAGAAAAAAAAACATTTCATACCTAAAAAACTATGCAGTATCAAAACACAGATCAGCAGGACTTTGTATATACATATGTACTTACTTACATACATATGTAAGCATACAAACGTGTCGTGCAAGTCAATTTTGTTAAAACTTACAATATTAACATGCCTGTGTTATTAAAATGAGATCTTGTCATATCACGAAGCCGCCCTACGGCAGGAGACGTACACTGTGATAAGTCTTATACAACTTTACACAACCATCAAAATATGGGCAAAGATAAATATGTTACAGATTACTCCAGGGAGTGGGTATATCCGAACCCCATAACTTGAAACCTAGTAAAAAAAAAAAATGATACAGCAAAAATCTGGCACAACTACCTGTATTCAATTGAGATTATCAAGAATGCATGTATTTAAAGTTATACATATCTGTAAGTGTCTAAAAATAATAATAATAAATAATACATACCATGATAGCAATATCGCCATTACGGCAATGCTGGATGCGCAAGTTGGATAACTTGACAGAAATAATCCGTGTTTGTAGTAAAAATGCGAAACCGAGGCAGGTAAACTGGGCGACGTAGATGCTGATGAATTTGGTGATTTGTTTTTAGCATTGGGCGCACGCTGTACAGATGTAGGCGTCGCGCCCGCCGCCTGTCTAGAGCCATCTGTTGCAGCTGCCATAGCGTTGTCGTTATGCTTTTAATACTCCGGGATTGCCGCACATACACAACTTCAGCACAATCAACAAACACGCACTTTAACTTTGCCCTAACAACTTTAGTGAATCTTTATATGTATGTATGTATGTTTATTATCTGCGTTTTAAGCGCACACAGTACAAACAACAATAAAATTACGCAATTTTGCAAACACTGAAACGCATCTAATTTCGATTCGGGTGCCCGTCTTTGATGTTAAGGAAGGAATCATCATATTATTTAATAACATTGCTTCTATTCTGGCGTTGGGTTCTTGTACCTTTTGCCATATTTTTCAAAAGTTTTTAAGTATGATATTGATTTTCTCTTCTGTACATTTGTTGTTATTACTTTTGTACAGTTTGTTTTATACGAACCGATACAATTGCTATTGCTCCAATCTCCAATTTGACATGTAAAAACTATTGGCTTAAATATATTTAGCGCGCGTTATGTTGACTTTTATATGTAGATATTGTTTTCAATAACCAAAATGAAAGCGCAACAAAACTTATTATAGTCGGCTTTGGCCGGTCGGTCATTCGGTCCACACGATTCAAACGATCAGTTCTTTCACCGTGTTTAATATCGTTGGGATTTATACCAATGTGGCTCAAAAATAATTATTGACGTTTTACTAATATAAAAAGGCACGTTTTTGTACCTGCTTCACAGAATTTTTCCCTCACAACACAAGAATCAGTAACATATGAATCAGAAGGCAGCTGACAGAACTAGTTCGTCAGAGTCCGATATACAGCTGATATACTAGTGCTACCACATCATGAGAAACAGTGAACTTAACTGAGTGAAGTCGTTGACGTAGACATCTATGTACATACACTTCGCTTTATTCACATTGTTCCTTTAAATTTTACACATTAGTTTACTTGGTATTAAATCACAAACATACATATATTAGAATCTTAAGATAATTAATTAGAACTTTCCTCTTTTTTTAGTTTTTAGCATAACATGTATGACATGATACATACGTATGTACATACATACATACGTATGTACATACATACATACGTATGTACATACATACATACGTATGTACATACATACATACATATGATTGTATATGCATGTACATACATACATACATATATAACTAGTATAGCCTTTCACCCTTTGGATACATGCTATAAAAAAGAATTTAATCTGAATAGTTTATTTTAAATATGTATGTATGTATATGTCTATGTATTTACACGTAATATTTTAATACTTTACATCAGACCCGAATTTTATTATTTTAAATGACTTAGAAACATCTCATACATACATATGTACATAATATGTACATGAAAACAAATACATATACATATGTACATGAATACAAACATACATATGTATGAATGTAAATTGACTTTTTTTAAAGACACTATGGTGTATTATAGATTTCGTTTTCAAGTACAACTTCTTTTGATAGTGTTAACACTGCTATTGATTTCATATTCCCAAATGTTTAGTCAATTTTTGTCGTTGGCATAGAATATTCGGCCGTTCTTGTTCCGGCGACACTGTCGCTTAACGTGTGGTGACTTGTTGTCGTTTGCATATTGTAACGTTGGCGAGGTAAACTCTCGTTTGCTTCCTCACGGGTTGCATTTTTTTGCGACGTGAGTTGATCATACAAAGTGACCTCGGTTACAGGTTTTGTATCAAAATTCCTCTGTACTTCTTTTGTTGTCATATTTGTATTGCTCACATTGCTGAAACAATTACCCCTTGAGATTGTCGAAAGGCTGCGTGGACTGAAAAGCAATACTGTGCCTTTGTTAAGCAAAGGACAAAGCAAAGCCTCGTGGCAACAGGCAAACAGGCGATAATTTTGTCCCTGAAATGGGTCGGACAAAGCAGCACATAGCATATGATCTAAGTTTATGCCCGTTACTATAGAAAGCGCATTTAATAGGGAAAAGTGATAAAATAGCATTAGAGCAGTGCCAATTTTCACCCATTGGAAATCGCCAATTGTCTCGATGGAATAGGTACCTGCAAAAAGCCAAATTACACAAATTCACACGTGGGAAAAAGTTTACTTACCAGTTTTTAGTATGTAAATTGGTATTATGTAGAGTAAAGCATGCTGTATCCAATAGGTCGCCTGTTCCAACGGATACGTGCGACCTTCGACCTCGGGAAAAAGGAAAGCCAAGAAAGGTCCGTTTAAGTTGTTCATTTGAATTCGAAATAGCGCCGTCGTCACTTTACTGGGTTTGGCGGCCAACAGATAGATCTGTAAAAGTGTAAAACTTACGACTATACCTGTTAAATGAAAAAACGAACCTGCACGCAAGTTTGCACATGGCAAGGATTAAGCGCAAAGATCATTGAACGTCCAGCCAACTTAAAGCCCATTTCAATCCCAAAAATCCCAGTCATGAAGATAAGAAGCAGTAGGCGTGTCGCAGTATGTGGACGTTCTAATTCATGGGGTTCTGGGAGTCTAATGGGCGCTAGCTTCTTCCAAGATCTATACATAATGTACACAAAGAGCGCGGAGAGAAAAACAGCCTCCATCCAACGGCGGCGGTTAGTCATATAGTTGATACACTCCGGACCGGTTGTACGTGGTATTTCATCGGTTATACCGCCAACTGCCCAATCCCAATCCATGTTCGTGGATCTATGGGCACAAATTTTTTTTAAATAGATACATATACATATGTATATACATACATACATTTACATATGCATATATATAGTGTAAATAATAATATAATGTTAAACGCAGGGAGTGGGGGGAAGCATGTCATTGTCAAGAGTAGGATTTGCTACTTTATACATACATATACATATGTATGAATGTACATGCATATGCATATGTATACATATACTTATTTGTATATACATACACACATACATACGTACATATATACATATGTATATGCAAGGGAGGAATTAAATCCGGTCCAAAGAGAACACCACATCTTTCCAATAAGCTTACAAATTCAAGTTTAACTTTACACATTCCTATGTACATATGTATGTATATCTTAGTGTCCTAACAAAATTAATCCACAAATATTACTTTCACGGCTGTGACCTCTTTTAGGGACTATATTTGTCACCTGTAGAAAAAACATTGCGGATGGGGTGCACACACTGCACAATTATATTTCGATTTTTTCACGTGTTGCAGCTTACAGTTTCTGCTATCCAAATGCACTTATGTAAGAGGATTGTAATTCATACAATGTTAACAGGCACCTTTAGTTTTCACGCACTGTTGCACTCACAAGAAAACACATATGTATGTGTCATTTTGTCTTTGAGGACAGTGATTTTTATAAATACAGAAAATAAAATTGACTCGGCCGTTACGGCGTCGCCCTCTGCGTGTTTACCCCAATTCAACATTGAGGATTTCTAGCTGTGGCCTTTCACTGTTCGTAATATCCTTAAGGAAAGAGCACACAACGTTATGCTCTCTTCTACACTGTTAAGAGAAAACACTTTAAACGTTGTTGGCAGCGGTTAGACTACAGACAAGTGTTTATATGAATATGTACATATGTATATAGATATGTATGTTTTTATGTGTTATGCATTTTCACACATACATATGTATGTAATGCGTATGCAGCTGTGCAGGGTCTTTATTTTTAGATATGTACATAGAAGTATGTAATTCGTATTTAATATACATTGAGTAAAAAATAAATACTAGTCTTCATACATTCGTAAATTCTTCATAAATGAAGTTTCCATACAAAAAAGGGTGTCGAATAATCAGCGTAAGGTTTTGCTGGTCTCTCATTTAGACCTGAACTGATATACATATGTATGTACATATGTACATACATACAGGGTGCGCCATCTTTTATGTCGGTATGCAAACATTGAATATCCTTGAAAATAAACAACCGATTTTCAAGTATGAGATATTTTTATTTAATTTGGTTCTGTACAATTTCTTGAACTGAGGTTTTCAACACTGGTCTACTCAAGTCAATCGGTTCACTAATGACAAAGTTATTCAATATCTACATACCGACATAAAAGATGGCGCACCCTGTACATACATATGTATGTACATAAGATAGCATAAAAAGGGTAGCAACATACACATTGGCCTGCCAAGTCGATTAGTAAAAACAGCTGTTGTACGCAACGAGGTACTTTTAGAATGTTCGAGCAAGCCTGCATGAAATACCCTGTACTAAAACAAACTTCCGAGTAGAACAATTTTGTCGTTTGCAGTCCGTCCCATTGCAAAATTGAGTGCAATTAAGCGACATTCGAAGCTTTATTGGATATTTAAGGATTATTTTGATAGAGACGAAAAAATTGCGTTAGTAAAATCGATACTGCTGTATATCACAGAAAAATTATTAGAATTGCATTCCCAATGCTGCGGAATCAATTCTAATTCATTAATTATCATTCATCTAATTATGTACATATGTATGTATGTATATTTTATGTATTTTTTTTCTGTCGACAAACACAAGCTGTCGACATACATACATACATATGTATGTACATAGGTGATATTATACAACAATAAAGCCTTAAACGCTAAAAAAGGCTAAATGGGTATTGACGTCCTTTTAAAAAGTAATTTCCTTAAACGAATTTTATGAATATAGGGGGAGCTATCTTATTCATTTTAATTTTGATATTTTTGTTAGTTAAGGAACAAACTCTGTTGTCTTCGAAACCATCTCACTTATGTACATATGTACATACATACATATGTCTCTTCGTTCGTATGTAATTTTGACTGTAGTCAAATATACATACATAAATAATCGCAGGGATTTGAATTTGAACAATTAAATGCATAAATTACCTTTAAAATTTGTAATACTAAGTCTGAAACTAGAAATTGCAATTATACTATAGCTTAAGAGTGCACAAGCTGAATGAATTCCCGTTCTTTTTTCTCTTGATATTGATTTCTCAGCTTCCTAATTAGTGAGTCTCGACTTGTAACGATAACATTTCTAGCTTAGGTCATGCATTAAGAAATGCGAATACCACTGATTAAAACTAACTTTCCGTTTGAAATTGTTGTGAAATGTGGAATGTTGCAGAATGACAACTAGTCATTCATAAAGAGAAATTTAGTAGGTAATTCATGTATACATACCTATGTATGAATGTACATACAAGTATATACGTTGGTACTTTTGTACTTCTGCTCGTTTACTCATAAAATGTGTAATTGAAGAACAAATGTAATATAACGTATGTATATACATGTATGTATGTATGTATATATAAATCTTATTAACGGCACATTGCAAATGAATGTGCACTCATGACCGACAATACACCGAATGCCGCGAGCACCATTCACAAATGAGGAAGCCTAGAAAGCATACATGATAAACGGAAGGTAATAACAAAATAGAGGTTTAAATTCTTAATTAGAAAACTGCACATTGCCACATTGTACATACAGTGGCTCACAGCTAATTGTACCAGTGCATTCAATCTCTATATTTTGCCTCCTACATACATATGTATTTATGTATGTATATATGATTTCGACACATTAAAGAAAAATGAACAATACTTATCAACACTTATGTATACTATTTTACAGTAAAATACCCTGTACTCTCCACAAAAGAGGAAAATTAAAAAAAAAATAATTAAAAAAAATTTAATTAATTTAATTAAATAATTAAGTTAAATATAAAATATTCAACACTTGCATACATACATAACTGTTTATGTACAATTTCAATAGAATAAATTTACATCAGAATCGTGTCTCTGCTTGTTTATATGCGTGTATGTATGCAGCACTAAGTTGAACCACTAACCACCCTTCAGTTCGGCTTGTGGCAATTATCCGCTATGGGCTACCCATGGACCGGTTCAGAGCTCAACCAGTGTCAACACCAGTCTCTTTATGAAGGCATTGCCATACCGGTAGGACACAAAACAGAATTACGAAAAAATATTGCCTCACAGTTCGTTGGCCGAACGAAAGGCAGTGCGACAGTGCTAAAAGAAACGATTTGATGCTCGTGCGCTGTGTTCGTCATCAAGTAACAATAACAAATATTAGACAAGTCTTGCTACTTTGTTCGGTCGTCTAATTACACCAACAAATATTGGGGAAATGACGTTGTTTTTTTTAGCTACTTTTCTATTCTTTTGCGTTTCCCCTGCCTCCGATTGCTTTGTATTGTTCTGACATTTAGTTTGCTGCAAAGTGCGTAGTGAAAAACGAATTATATAATATAATCTAATATAATATAATCTAATATAATCTATAATATAAAAATATATGTACACATTAATGTAATGTATAAAGAAATTATTATGTAGCCAATAAAGAATTAATTTTTATTTGTGTATTGATTTTGTGCCTGGCAGAGGGGTAGTCACGGACCGGTCCAACACCGGTCCAAAAGAAGTCCAAAACGGACCGGTCCAAAAGTAGTCCAAAACGGACCGGTCCATGGAGTAGTCCACTCGTTATAAAAGGTACCGGTCCATTTACCAGTCCGATGTTGGCGAGAACGGGACAATTGTCCGCTTCGTATGACATCGTGTGTAAAAACGAAGGGAGGCATGGCATGAAGTTCGGACTAGTGGTGGTGCGCGGCGGGCCGGTATGCCGTACTGCTGGGCATACAACATATAGATGCTTCATTTCATACAACGAAAACGTCCCATCAAAATTGTGAGCGACAGCTCTCATAGTTGTTTGTATTTGCCGAATGGGAGCTGTCGCACTTCGGCTGAGCCGACTGGGAGCTGTCGCATTCGTGCTCTCTGTGAGCGAATTTCATTTCATTCGCAGAGAGGCAGTCAACAGAGACGGTCGGTCTGCGCCGCTTATGCTCTTTGAATGTTTGCAGCAGCTTCAATTTCGTTTTTAGATTTTACTTGCTACATGGGTAATGAGAATTTCATACACTGTTGCCATCTTCTGTCGCATTGTATTTTGGGATGCGTATGCAAGTGAACTTTGTCAACAGTGTATGGGTTTCTAATAATGCCTATAAAAGCACACATACATACATATGTAAGTATGTCTGTGTGCAAATGTAGTGTTCATATGCAGAGAGTAGCCTTGACCTACCTCAACTTGTATTTATGCACAAGCAATTTTGTTGATCGACTATTTTCTATTTTTACACACTGTACATAAAATGTACAAGAGTATATTAGGTTTGCGGGATCCGAAAATGTAACAGGCAGAAGGAGGCGTGGCACACCCCACAAAGTATATATATCCTTGATTGGCATGACGAGACGAGTCGATCTAGCCCTGTCTGTCTGTCCGTCTGTCAGTCTGTCCGTATGAACACCTGGATCTCAGAGACTATAAGAGCTAGAGACACCAAATTTTGCACAAAGATGCCTTATGTGTGTACGCTGTGCAAGTTTGTTTTATTTTTCCCCCCTATGAGGGTTTTCCCGATTTTCCATTCGTATTATCGCCTATATCTCGGAGACTATAGGACCTAGGTTCACAAAATTTCCCAGTCCCAGATGCCTTATGTGAATACGCAGAAAATGTGTATTTTGGAATTTCCCTTCCTCCCCCCTCTCCACCGCATGTCGTAACTCACGTAATTCTTAGAACTTCGAACTCAAACTTGGCAAGTACCTCCATTTAGTTATTATAAGTTAAAATGCCAAGTTTAATCATGATAGGCCGATTTAACAGGAAGTTATAGCCATATATGTACATAAGACCAAGTAGTGCCCGCAGCTGTTGTTGTTGTTACTGCTTTGCTCAGGCACACGAGACATACAGACACACTCAAATACACACATACACGCAAATTTAATCTACACATATGTACAGAGTATTTCAAAGTCGGAACACCCGACTTTAGCTTTTTTACTTGTTTTCATTTTCCCCTTACTTCCCCCCAATGGGGTTTTCCCGATTTTCCATTCGTATTATCGCCTATATCTCGGAGACTATAAGACCTACGGACACCAAATTTTAGTCCCACATGCCTTATGTGAATACGCAGAAAATGTGTATTTTCTAACTTCCCTCCCTCCCCCTCTCCCATACAAATCGCTATTTTCACTAACTCCCGTAATTCTTAGAATTTCGAACTAAAATTTGGCAAATACCCCCAGTTAGTAATTATGTGTCCGTATGCCATGTTTCATCATGATAGACCGATTTAACAAGAAGTTATAGCCATAAATATATTTGCCGCTGCAGCGCTGCTCAAGGGCTGCCCAAGCGCTGCCCGCGGCTGTTAATGCTGGTGCTTTGGTTGACTGTGATCATGTTTACATAGACATATATTTTTTTTATTTTATTTTATTTTATTTTTATTTTATTTTTTACTTGATTTGTTTGATTGACTTGCATATTAATTTAAAATTTTTTGGTAAAAATGTCAGTTGGCATTTAAATTAAATTAATTAAAAATATTAGTTTAAAAATATTTTATTTAATTTAAAAATATTAGTTTAAAAATATTTTATTTAATTTAATATATGTTCTTGGTAAAAATGTCAGTTGACAAATTGGACGATATTTTAT